AGAAAACCCACCCACCCAAAGTAGCCCCTGGAATCCCCACTGGCTGAGTGGCTGGCCCAGGACAGACTGTTAAGGGAGGAAACACCGCCACTGCAGCACTGTAGCCTTCAGCAGCTGCGTGGAGGGCGGGGTAGTACATACCGTGCAGAAGAGCGTGCCTGTTTCGGAACGTGAGAATTCTTGGAACACTGCTGTTCTTTCCTACAAAATCAAGGAAAAATAGGGCCTTACAACTCAGGCACACTCCAGCAAGGCGGGCTTAGACCCACATGGCTCTCCCATGTCCTCCACTCTCCACAATTACTGATTGTGAGGCACAGGGACAAGTCATACAAGAGCAAAAAGTAGATCCCTTACATCTCCTAAGACGACCCTTTGCTCAGGACGAGACCTCTGCAGCTGTAGGAAAGCACTGAGGGAAGCACTGGAACCTCCCAGTGAGGCAGCACCACGGACGCACCCTTCAGAGATGGGCATGACGGGAAAAAGGAAGGCACGGCTCCTGAGCCGCGGCACGCAGGGGCCAGCTCCACAGGTACCCAGGACATGCTCCCCAGTGTGCTCCAGGACTGAAGAACGTCGCTCACCTTCCCACAGGGTCATACGTTACCATCAGCAAATAGCTTCTCATTATTTTGCCAATTAAGTGTAGTTTTCCTTTTTTTTTAATATAAATTTTTTAAAAGAATTGTTTACTTTGGGACCAGCAGACGGCATATTGAACTGGACACCCATGTAGTGGACCATGGTTTGAGCCCTGGACCTGGTGGTTTCAAACACGCCAGGCATATGTTGCGTGCGAGCCCAAAATCCTGAGAGGAGAACAGAGCAGAAGGCGCTGCAGCACGGCCAATCCCCCTGAGGGGTTATTTCTTGTTTTCTGTTTCTCTGTCTCTCTCTGGCGACTGCATGCACCCTATAGCAAAAAGACCCCCCCACCACCAAAAAAATTCATTTTATTTACTTTTTTTTTTTTTGTGGAGAGGTTTTTGCTATAGGGCGCATGCACTCACCAGAAAGACAGAGAGAGACAGAGAGATAGAAAGTGAGAAATCACCCCCCGGGGGGATGGCCACGCCGCAATCCCATCTCCTCCATTCTCCTCTCGGGATCTTGGGCATGCACGCACATGCGCCTGGTGTGAGTTTAAGCCACCGGGTCTGGGACTCAAACCACAGTCGACCACATGGGAGTTCAGCGACATAGCCATTACGCTAACTTACTATTATTTTTACATCTGACTAGAGAGATTGAGAAAAGAGAAAGGGAAAGTGAGGAAGCAAGCCGCCAGGTCCAGGACTCAGACTGTGGCTAGCCATGTGGGAGTCCAGTGCTTTAACTACAATGCCACCTGGCCAGCTCCTATAGGCAGTATTTTAAGCACCAGTTTTTAAAAAGCCTGAACATTTATAAAACGTGTTCATTTTTAAAACATGGAGGGGACACCCCCAACAGGGGCTCTACCCTGCACCTGTCCACAGTCCTCCAGCATGGGTCACAGACACACGTGTGTGCACTCAACATGCTTACGGATGAGAAACCAGGACGTGAAACCAGGAGCTCTTTCTACATGCATCCAGTTGCATTACTACTAGGCCACCACATGGCCCAAAACTACATTTTATCTGTAGAAAACGTATATCTAAGTTAGGGGAAAAAAACAGATGCACCACTCCAGGCAGACAAACCCACCGGTGACACGGCGCTGCCTCTCCCATTCCTTTCTGAGGATGACATGAGCAAATACGCAGCTTTCAAAGAGTTGGCCCAGTGCTTCATTGTTAGCATGCTCCTTATCGTGCTCAGGAGAAGGCCAGCGTCTTTCCGCGCCAATAAATAGCCAAGACCACATCATCTCTCTGGTGAAGCATGTGGCTGAGCGTGGTCCTTATTTATGGGACCCGCGCCCTATTACTGGCACCTGAGGCTGTCTCCAAGGTTGTTTTTACTGTTACAATCAAAGCTGGGCTAAGCATCCTTGTGAATAACTGTTGTGTGCATTATTACTCCCCTGGATGAATTCCTGAAGACAGACTTGCTGAACCCAACAAGGAGCACACTTGTACAGCTCTTCCTAAGGCACACTCCGCATGTGTTAAGTCTCAGTGCTCCAAGAACTTCGGACTGGGCCACGTTAACAAGTAAAAAGAAATGTAACCAACTCACTAAAACTCCGGGTGAACACAAAGTGGAGGCTTCCTTCTGCTCCGGCACAGCCACTCTGCCACTGTGGGGTGCCTCCTCGGGTCTGTCGAGTGTGTCTACTTGGTCACACAGGTGTCTCTACTGAGTGCCTACCACGCGCCGAGCGGAGCCCAAGCACTCTGCTCTACAAGTCTGAACTTACTACTCCTTAAAACAACCCTACGGGTTCTAGATGGAAAAATAGGCACACAGAAGTTAAGTAACTTCCTAACAGATGTGCACACTGAGTTAGTGATGAGCCGGCCCGATATCTGAACTCAGGAAGTTGGATTTCAGAACCAGAGTCACCCCTCAAAAGGACAGGTGCTCATGCTCAATTTGCTATGTGGTCTTTAAAGGATCACTTTAGTTGCACTATAGAATGAAAAAAAAAAAAAGAGCTCAGGGGCCAGCAGGTGGCATAGAGGTTAAGGCACTGAATCCCACATGGCTGACCCTGCAGTTCAAGTCCTGGACCCGGCAGCTTGAAAAACACACTGGGCACATGTGTATGTGTGCTCAAAATCCCAAAAGGAGAATGGAGAAGGGATTGCAGTGCGGCCGTCCTCCCTGGGGTGTGATTTCTTAATTTCACTCTCTGGTGAGCGCATGCACCCTATGGCAAAAGCCAAAACAATGACAGAAAAAGCAATTTGGAAAAATTCATAAAAGTTATGAAACATCTTAAAGACTGGACAAAATGTATCTGGGTTTGGCCCAAAGGGGAACCAACACCACACTTCGGCTTTGATCACCCAACTGTGCGGCAGCTTCTCTCTAGTGCCCGTACGTGTGCAGGGTCACGTCAGGCATCTGTGGAGACCACACTAAGGTCACGTGGGCAGTGGCCAAGGGGAAACTGGAACCATTTCAGCTTGCAGTGAACAAGCAACTCGACTCCAATGCTTACAAACAAAAGGGCAGGCACACTGTTCTTACCGCTCTCTTTTTTAAATTTCTTTTTTCTCAATTATTTTATTTAACTTTATTTATTCATTTACGTATTTTAATTTGACCAGAGGGAGAAAAAGTGAGAAAGCAAGCCACAAGGTCCAGGACTCAAACCGTGGTCGGCCATGTGGGAGTTCAGCACCCTTAACCTCCACGCCACCTGCCAGACCCACTGCCTCTTACCTTCTACCTATCTCATGCAGAGGATAAGAAGGATAAACACTTACACAAAACAACACAGGTAAAGCGTGAGCAATGATTAAACTATGAGAAAAATGAAACTACTCTTGAAGAAAAGGTAACAATGGCACCTTGCATTTACATCCACGGACAGACTAGACCTCGGCTCCATATCCAGAGCTTTACTGTATGAACCCAATGAACTGTCAAAGCAGCCCTACGAAGTTAAGCACTACTGTTACCCCACTTGGGAGACATGGAAACGGGATGTAGAGGCTCAGTGCTTTCCTGAGGTCACAGCCAATCAATGACAGAGCCAGGACCAGAACACAAGCAGTTAGCCCCTAAGGACACAGCTGCAAACATCATGCTAGGCTACTCCCTGGTTATGAAATGACCTATCTGAAATTACTTGACTATACAATCTTTCATATGATCTATTAAAATCCCTAGATTCTGGGGGACCAGCAGTGAGCGTAATGGCTATGTCGCTGGACTCCCATGTAGTCGACTGCGGTTCACGTCCCAGACCTGGTGGCTTAATAAATCACGCTGGACACGTGTGCGTGCGTGCCCAGGATCCCTAGAGGAGAACGGAGGAGAAGGGATTGCGGTGTGGCCATCCCCCCTGGGGGGGATTTCTCGCTTTCGGCCTCTCTGTCTCTGTTTGTCTGGCGAGCGCACAAGCCCTATAGCGAAAACCTCTCAAAACAAACAAACAAAAAACCTAGATTCTTCTGAGTCCACATCCAGCTCCTTCACCATCCTCACTCCTAGCCTGCAGAAAGTCTTTGGCGAAAACAGACCCAGCCACAGCACTGCACAGGGAGTGCCACTACTTGAGAGGCTAGAATCCACAAGGGAGCCCTGAGTTCGACTCCTGGGTCAACTTAAACAGTGAGTGGGTTGTGTGGCTGGAACCCTGGCTCACTGGGGTGCTGGGGTAGGAGGATCATGGCATGGGGAGACGGTCAAAACCGCCTACCTCTACCCTCTCCCTCACCCTCAGCCTTTCCCTGTCCCTCTTGCTCATAAAAACAAAAACCCGGAAGCATTAATGGCATTAAAGAACAAACTCAAATGAACTAGGGATCCTGAAGGTAAAACTGAAGGTTTCTAAACTTCACACAGGCTTGAATATTCAAGAACTTCTACATAAACTTGTGGTAAATAAGCTGTGTCCTTGAGTGACCTTGAACAAATTCAATGTTCTGGGTTTCCATTTAATTGTTAAAGCAAAAATACTGAGAGGTGCTAGACTGCTGAGGACTGCAAGTGTTATTTTTAAGTTTTTTTGTTTTTTTTTTAGTTCTAAAAATATTATCCATTTTTTAGAAACTATGGTTCTAGTCAAATCTCATTCTGATTTCTGGTCTTCTTTTGCGCGTTCTGATTTCCTAAGCTGCCTGGCGACACCTGCCCTCCAGGACAAGGTGGGCCCGTTTCCAAGCCCTGTTTGTCCTTTCTTCTCTAATTCCAGGGAGTAGGTCTCAGTCCTGTACCCGGGCCCGAATGCCTACCCGGATGGCCTCGTTAGGAGTAGAGGAATGAGACCCACACAGCCAAGGACCTCAAATGAGGGAAGCGTGACACTCTTCTTCTTGAACGCAAATCTCCCTGTGCCGAGGCAGGACCGAGAAGCCGCAGCCCCTTTGGTACACATCACCCTCTCCCGACCAGAGAGCTCAGAGTGCAGCGCTGTGTCTTGTTGACAATGACAGCAGCCGAGCTCAGCAGTACCATATGGGAACCACAATTTAGCTCCATTAATGCTCTTAATTTGAAGACATCAAGCCCTAATTACACACTGGGTACTAAAAAGGCAAAACCCTTCCCTGGTGCCAGCTACTTAGTGGTACTCTGTTGCCTTAACAGCTGGGTGAGGTAGATTCAGGCCAAGCTGGGGCCTGTGAGCTCTCTCAGGTGGAAGAAACCAGCTCCGGGAGCAGAAGCCAACGGGAACAATAGACTCCCCTTGCCCACACCAACACGGCAGTGGGGTGCGCCTCCCGTTCCAGCAGGTTGTCTGCTCAGCTCACTCTCCCCTCGCCCCGTGGAGCCCGTGAAGGAGCAGGCAGCACTGGGCATGGAGGAGAGGGCCGGGCCTCGGGTACACGCGGGATGTGTGGTGCTCACCTCCTGCTCCATGTTGCCATGCAGCCGTAGGAATTTTAATTGCGTAGAGACAGATGGCAACTGCCCTGGTGCTGGGGCTCCCGAGCTGCTCAGCAGGGTCTGGAGGAAGAGGTTGTAGTGGAACTCCACCAGCTCGCAACTTGAGAAAAAGACAATCATCTTTTGTTCTTTTTCAAACTACATGGATACAAAGGGGGGGAAAACAACCACGTTTTTTAAGATCAGGTGACACCAAAATGAATCTCTCTGCAACACATAGTTATGCTGGCCCAAAATGAGGAATCACAACCATCAGGCAGCTTCGACTTGTTAAAAAAACAAAAACACTGATACTATATCTTACAAAGGATGGAGGGAAGGAAAACGACACATCGACAACCTTGAACAGGTTTTGCGGCCCGCAGGAAAACGAGCTGTTCTCTCCTCTCCTTCTCCTGCGCCCAGGGCCTGCCGCACACGATGTCTCCTGGTGAGACCCTGCCTACGCAGTAACTTTGATGGTCCACCTACTGTCTCCCACACCCAGATACAGATTCTCCGGGAAACACGAGGACGGGCCTCAAGTCTGCCCCAGGTCCCGCAGGTTCTGCCGCCTGTGACGGTCAGTCCTGGGAGAGACAGGGCGGCTTCAAACGGCACATTATAGCAATCATCACTGCTTTCCTGCGCTCCTAGAGCCAACAGCCGCATGGGTATGTATGAAGGTCTGCACCCACAAACTGAGGTGAGGTGGAAAAACAGGCCACACCAGGAGCAGCCCTCGGTCCTACCTTGCATTTCTGAAGGATAAAGGCTGCTAGGGAGACAAGCCTCAGCTTGCTGGGAACCAAGGTCACATGCTGGTGCAGACTCTCGGGTATCGCGAAGCTGTCCAGTTCACCAGGAATCTCTGGAGAGACACCCCGGACCATTCTGGCCTCGGGGCTAGATGGCTGGAGACTTTTGTCCAGGGCAGAAATACTGACTGGGTCATGCAAACTGATATCGGCTAGCCGTGCGACCCCTGGGGCAGGAGGGAAAAGAACAAACAACACATGCATGGTGTGAAACTGGTCACGAATGCTCACTCCCCCACAGCGCCCGCCCAGGTTCACCAGGAAACTTGCCCAGGCAGCACAAGCCTCAGCAGATCTGCCTTACTGCCAGTTCAGTAAGGGAGACCCACTACCGTGTGTACACCCACACCAGCCGACTGCTGCTCCAACTGTGATTCATCATGTGGGACGATGCCAGGAATAAGGCAGTTTTTCTAAATCTTACTGTCCCCAACTATACAGAGAATTTCCATCTCGCGAAGTCTAAGGAATATATAGGGTCAGCAGGTTGCAGGGAGACTAAGGCAGCTGGATGCCACGTGCCAACATCAAAGTTCAAGTTCTGGACCCGGAGGCCTGAGAAACATGCCAAGTATGCATGCACAAACGCCCAAAATCCTGAGGAAAATGGAGGAGAAGGGACTGTAGCATTGCCATGCCCCCGAGGGGTGATTTCTCACTTTCTCTCTGTCTCTCTCTGGTAAGCATACACACCCTATAGCAAAATAAAAACAAAAAACAAAATAAAGAGATATTAGTTTTGTTCCTTTTTTTTTGTTTTTGGAGAGGTTTTTGCTATAGTGCGCATACGCTCGCCAGAAAGACAGAGAGACAGAGAGATAGAAAGCGAGAAATCACCCCCCGGGGGGATGGCCACGCTGCAATCCCTTCTCCTCCATTTTCCTCTTGGGATCTTGGGAACACACACACACGCGCCCGGTGTGAGTTTAAGCCACTGGGTCCAGGACTTGATCCACGGCCGACTACATGGAAGTTCAGCGATATAAGTATTACACCAACTGCTGGTCCCACAAAGAGATATTTTTAATTTGCCAGAGTACATGTACTCTCCAGAGAGACACAGAGATAAGAGGGAAAGTGAGACCATTGGTCATGCCACAATCTTTCCTTGTCCATTTCTCCTTCCTTTTGGGATATTGGGCAGGCACATGCACCGTGGGGTGGGCCATGTGGGATCCGGGTACTCTAACCACTATGGCACAGGCTGGCCTAAGAAAAATATTTTAAAACTTTAATCTCTCTGGAAACCAGCAGATGATGTAATGGCTATGTTGCTGGACTCCCATGTAGTTGACTATGGTTCAAGTTCCAGACTCAGCGGCTTAAAACTCATACCAGGAGCATATGTGTGTGCTCAGAATCCCGAGAATACAGACGGGATTACGTGACATGGTCATCCCCCTGGGCGGTAGGTAGTTTCTTGCTTTCTATCTCTGTCTCCAGCAAGCGCATGTGCCCTATAACAACAACAACAACAACAACAACAAAACACTTCAAAAAAAGAAATTTAATCTCTCCATAGGAAAAAAGGGTGGTATTAGTAGGACATTCAGATGAGAGGCTGTCCATAGAACAAGGGCATGTGCCCCGTGGGTTGCAATGGTGATAAAAACCTCAGGACAGGGACCAGCAGGTAGCGTAATAGCTATGTCGCTGAACTCCCATGTAGTCGATTGTGGTTCAAGTCCCGGACCTGGTGGCTTAAACTGACGCTGGGTGCGTGTGCATATGTGCCCACGTTCTTGAGAGGAGAATGGAGGAGAAGGGATTGCGGCATGGCCATCTCCCCCAGGGAGTGATTTTTATCTCTCTGTTTCTCTGGTGAGCACATGTGCCCTGTAGCAAAAACCTCTCCAAAAGAAAAAAGAAAGAAAAAAAAACCCTCAGGACAGGAGCCAGCAGGTGGCATGGTGGTTAAGGTGCTGGATCTCACATGGCCAACCATGGTTTGAGTCTCGAACCCAGTGGCCTGAAAATCATGCTGGGAGCATATGAGTGCATGCCCGAAATCGCAGGAGGAGAGTGCAGGAGAAGAAACCGGCAGCGTGGCTCCCCCAGCCCATTACGTGCTTTCTCCTCACTCACTCTCTCTGTTTCTCCAGTGAGAGTATCACCCGATGGCAAAAACCTCAAAACCAAAACAAGCACCTCAGGAAACACTGGGTCTCTGGGGGCCTGTCCCCTCTCTCCCTCTGCACCTTAATGTGAGCCCTAGCTGCAGGCTCCTTACCAAGGTGACTCTGGGCCTGGGACCTGCCCTCTTCCCTTCCTCACACCCAGGGGGACCTATCAGTCCGGATTCCTGGGAGGAGGGTCAAGAGTGCAGGACGACAGGATCTGAAAACGCAGACCTCCCGCCCTGGTGCTGCGCATCACTGCTGGCCAACAACTCAAGTGATGTCCGGTCCTTCCCTGCATCAGCAGCAAAGGTCCCAAGGCCTCTCTGCAACTCACCTCTAGTGAGGGTCGCTGACAGCAGGACATTCTGCCGCTTCTGGCATTCGGCATTGACAGCATTGAGTATAAGGGTGATATCTTTTTCAAAACCCAAATCCAAGATTCTGTGGTATTAAGAGAAGGAGTTTGAATCTACGTGAAGAGTAAATGGAAAACTAAGGGGCTATACCGATTGCAGTGAGGATGGCTGAAAATGCTCTTCCCCCCGCCTTTCGTTCTTCCTGGACGAGGCTCACCTATCTGCTTCATCCAGAACCAGCCACTGTATCCGACTAAAATGAATGTTCTTTGTGGATTTTATATGATCTACCAGGCGTCCGGGAGTTGAGATCAGAATATTTATTCCTTTGCGGAGTCTGTTTAAAATTACATATCATAAAAGAAAGCAAATCAAACAGGGCTCTATCGATAGAACACAGGAAAAAGGCAAGTCCCCTCCTCTTCTACAGAAGAGCATCATTTATCTGAAATTACGCCAATATCATAAGACCTCAACTCTGAAAGGGATCTCAACTATATAATCCATGCTTTTTATCTGATTCATAGATCTTTTCTAGAACATTCTAGATAGAAGGGCATCTAGCCTGTTCTTGAAGGTTCCCATGTCAGAGAACCTCTGGCCTGAATGAGTTGCCCCAGGCCAATATACCCTGGCTGCTAGAACATTTTCTTACACTGAATCCTTTCAAAAACTTCGATGCAATGGGTCCACGCTTTGCCTAGTAAACCATGTAGAATAAACCTAATTTCTCACTTCCCAAACCCCCATTACCCTAGTATTTCCCGCAGTACGAACATTTTTAGCTGGTCTATTTGCCATCTTCCCGGCTATGAAATGGCCGTGCAGCTAGCTGTGCTCTAGCAATGGGGTAAAAGAAAGGGATAAAGGGAATGTGTATGTACCCTCAGAAGGGGGAGGTATGAGCACCTTTGTTCCCAACAGCAGGAAACCAAATGTAATGGGTGGAGCTCCAGCAACTATCTAAGACTATGAGGTAACCTTTAATAAGCAAGTCTCGGGACCAGCAGGTGGTGTGGTGGTTAAGGCACTGGACATTCCCACATGGCTGACCATGGTTCGAGTACTCGACCTGGTAGCTTGCTTGGTTCTCACTTTCCCTCTTTCTCTTGCTCTCTATGTATCTCTCTGGTCAAATTGAAATAAAATGGGTTGGGAACCAGCAGTTAGCGTAATGGCTATGTCGCTGGACTCCCACGTAGTCGACCGCGGTTCACGTCCCGGACCCGGTGGCTTAAAACTCACGCCGGGCGCGTGTGCGTGCGTGCCCAAGATCCCAAGAGGAGAATGGAGGAGAAGGGATTGCGGCGTGACCATCCCCCCTGGGGGGTGATTTCTCGCTTTCTGTCTCTATGTCTCTCTCTGTCTCTCTGGGCAAGTGGCGTGAAGGTTAAAGTGCTGGATTCTCATATGGCCGAACACAGTTCGAGTCCCAGGCCTGGTGGCTTGCTTTCTCATTTTCCTTCTCTCTCTCTGGCCCAATTAAAATAATAATAATAATAATAATAAATAAAAAACCTTTATTAAAAAAAAAAGCAGCAAGCCTTCCATAGTGGCTTAAAAAGACAGAAGGAAGGTCAATATGTAGCATGGTGGTTAAGGTAGCTAGATCCCACATGACCAACTGCACAGTTCAAGTCCCAGACCCAGCAGTCTAAAAAGACGTGCCAGGTGCATGTGCACCAATGCCCAAATCCTGAGTGGAGAAGAGACTGTGGCATGGCCGTCTCCCCTAGGAGGTGGTTTCTCACTGTCACTCCTACCTCTCTCCAGCAGGAGCACATACTCCATAGCAAGTTCATAAAAAGGAAAAGACAGAAGAGGTTTCTGACACTAGAACACCACGCCCCATGCCAGCCCTTGAGGGCTACTATCAAGACTTCTATTTTCTTTTTGAGAGAGATTTTTGCTGTAGGGCACATGTGCTCGCCAGAGAGATGGAGAGACAGAAGTGAGAAATCACCCCCCAAGGAGGATGGCCACATCACAATCCTTTGTCCTCCATTCTCCTCTTGGGATTTTGGGTACGCACACATGCACACATGCCAGGTGTGAGTTTTAAGCCACTGGGTCTGAGACTTGAACTGATGTCAACTAAGTGGGAGTCTGGGGATGAAACCATTATACCACCTACTGGTCCCCTATCAAAGCTTCTTAAATGTAAAGGAAAAACTAAAACTTCTGTACTGTCTGTGCCACTGCCATTTGTTGCTGCTACCACTTACAGGGAATCTAATACTAATACTTTCAGGTTTCAAGTTTAATACTTGCGGTTCAGTTATAGACTAAATGCAGTTGGGTGACTTCTAATTATTAAGACAAAGACAATTTTTATTTTAAAAAGAATGCATGGGGCCAGTGGGTGGCATGGTGGTTAGGGTGCTGGACTACCACATGGCTGACAGTGGTTTAATCCTGGACTCGGTGGCTTGCTTTCTCACTCTCCCTCTCTCTCTGGCCAAAGTGAGCATAATAATAAACAAATAAAGTTAAATAAATAACTTAAAAAAAGAATGCAAAAAATGTGGGATTTATGTGTTCCAGTAATTTTGCAGTGACCAGTGTAACTTCTAACACAGACACAGGGACCAGCCCACCTGGGTGTAAAGAGCTGCAGACCCAGCTGCCATTGCACGTGCTGCCTGACGCAGCAATTGGTAGGCTCAGGCCATGGGGAGGTTGGGTTTGATCTCCACTGACCCTAAAAAGCTAGGCAGGGTGGTACGTGCCTGGAGTCCAGTCATTCATGAGGCTGAGGCTGGAGGTTGTGACATGAAAAGAACCTGTCTCTAAAAAAATGTTTAAAAAGGGCAAATCACAAAGTATTATGTAAGTTCCTTGTTTTAATACAACCAAACAACAAAACTCCTAACTCCCAAGCTCCACGAAAGGGAGCCACACCAGTGAGGGTTGTATATGAAACAAGGGGGACTGGCAGGGACTGGGTAGACGGGAGGCAAGAGGGCAGCACGTGCTCTTAGTGCCCACGTCACAAAGGAAACCGGAAGAAGTTCATCAATATTTAAAACATAGCACTGTCTAGAGATGACCGCTGCCCTCCGTGCTGGGCCCAGGAAGTACCATTCACGAGGGTGGGGAGAACCAAATCTCCCTGGCTAGAACAGCGGGACAGACAGATTCAGAGAGGATTAACAACAGGCCTCCTACCTGGCTTTTTCAGATTTTCTCTTCTCTCCTCCCATCAACACTCCAGGCACAATCCAGGTAAACGGCTAGAGAAAAACCAGACCAAAATCCAGAGTTCCCTTTACTGGAAACAGGCCTGAATCTAATCCCTTCTCCTTACACCAGTCCTCCTGGAGAGGGGAACACGCTGCTCACTGCAGGAGTTCTGTACAGACACAAGCCTAGGCTTGGCCACGCCCACGGTCACCACCCGCAGTCCCCGAATCACACAGCTCTACACCCAGGACAGGAGTGCAAGCTTCCAGACTGACTCAAGTAGCTGTCTGCCTTCTCCCATGGAGGCAGGCGGAAAACACACTTCGGGATGTCTCCTGCCTTCCCCTGTGGTGGTGGGGTCAGGGAGAGGTCAGTTAAGATAAAGCACAAGCAAAATTTAAAAACACACAGAAACTGTTCCCTATTTCCCACCCTGGTAAAAGAAAGGACAGATCAATCCCTGATCTAATTTGGGGAGTTGGTGGGTCTGGACTCTGCAGCCTCCCTTTCGGCTGAGCAAACCCCCCTTGCAGCCTCTCTGGCTGCCCTCCCCTGACTACCTGCAGGCTGCCCCCAGAACCGACCTACCTCGTCAGTGACCGAGGAAGGGTATAAGCCCGAGAAGCAGCTGTAATTTAGCTAAGCTAGAGCCAGTAGCTAGTAAGGTGTAGGTCAGTAAAAGTCTAGAAAACCCCATCTAAAGAAAGCAGAGACAATCAGGGAAGAGGAAACTAAGTAATTCCTATCTTTCTGAAAATAAAGACGAGTATAGGATATTCACTTTTCCTCAAAAAGTCAGAAAAAAAGGCAAACTTGACTCACGATCGCCTTACCTTAAGCAGTTTCCGGATGGTGTCAAAGCTTTGTAGGGCCAGCTGTAAATGTTTAGAAAGTTACAGATAATGAGCAGGGTCCCTTCTCTCTTTTTCCTTTTAAAGACAATGTAGAATTGACTAAAATCTAAACTTAGACCTCAAGTTAAGACCTAAAAAACAAAACAAAACAAAACAAAAACAAAAAAAAAACCTATACATAGAATCTGCTCTGCAAACACACACTGTACTGTTCTCTGCCCGGCCATGAAACCTGTCACTTAAGGGAGTGGGGTGAGGCCACGGCATCCACTTCCTGGACGCACACAGAAACAGTGCTCGGTGCTCCCTCTGCTGGCGCAGGCTCCCAGAGCGCCACAGAGGCAAGTTCAAACCTATGGTAGATGAAGGTGGAGGAAGACAACGCAGAGTCTACCTGAATCGGGCTTTCCTTCCAAAGAGAAAGCACGCAAGCACGAAGGAGTAGACTACGACGGGTGGGACAGGCCAGCAGGGC